AAAAAAAAGAAGAAATAAGAGTGAGACAAAAAAATAACATCTGAGTAAGCATTTTTAAATGACCATTAAGCTGAASTAGGCTGYTCATCAGCTAATCAAAAGTTTAAGACAGAATGATCCTTGGCCCAAATGAAGCTTGTCAYTGGTGCTGACTGCATTCCCACAACCATCAGACAGCATCTGCCAGAACGTCTCCAAAGGCCTCGTCTCCTTCAACGACACAAAATTGCCTTTTTTGGAGATTGCAGGAGAGCAAACATGAGACAGTGGAAGGTGGAAGAAAGTTTTATTCTCTGATGAGAAGAAAAATGTAACTTTGATGKTCCTGATGGCTTCCATTGTTACTGTTATGACTAAGAGGTCTTTTTTCCTTCAACAGAACAATGGAGCTTCAAGTTGTGCGGAGGAGTCAAACAGCCTCAATTCGTTATCTCAATAAAACGCTCCTCGTTATTTTATAATAACGACATAATATGTTGTTATCACAAGAAAAAAGAATATATGGAAAACAGATGCTCTYAGCTTCCGTAATTCAGAACCCTCTTAAGATCCAACAGTGCAAAATGTGAATTCTTGTGATTTTTCAGCTTTGATCCGGACCGTATAATTCCACTGTGGCCCATATCTTTTTCTGTAGTCTCAGGAGGATAGAGTGTTTTMGTAAACCTGATTTAGTTTCTTTATCATTTCAGCTACTTGCTCAGGTTAACCAGAAGATCAGGGAGAACGAAGCCACCATCTCAGAGAACAAGCACTTGCTGCACATTCAGAAGAACAACAACAAGGATCTCGAGAGAAAAATTGCTGCAACAATGAGGCAGTCAGTCAAACTGCTGCAGGACGTGAAGAAGCAGGAGACTAACTTCATCAGGCTGCAGGATGAGGTCAGAGTCTCAGACCGTGCAGAACGAGTTCTCAGAACATCTTGTTTGATATTATTCACCTCTGATTCCTGTGTGTCCTGCAGCTGAGCAATTACAGAAACRCCCTGAACAGTTGGAACTCTGATCTGAAGTCTCTGATGTCCACTATAGCCAGAAAAAAGAAGGAGCTGAAGAAAAACAATGAAAAGTCAGTGAAACACTAAAACACATGTTTATATAAACCATCCTTTGGTAACACACTCTGTTGTGTGTGTGTGTTAGACTGAAGGAAGCCAGGGCCTGCAACGCTGCGCTGGAGGAGAAGCTGAAGGTTGAGTCTCAGACTGTTCTCAGCGAGGAGAAGGAGAGAGCCGCTCAAATGGAACAGTTCCGAAAAGAAACAGAACAGGGTTTCAAGGTGAATCAACAGCTTTTATTTACAAAGGTTTTATTTATTACGGTGCACATCATAGGTTCTTTTTCTTTATTTATATTCATCTCATTTTTATACCAAACCAACACCCTCATATTTGATTTTTATCAATAGAGGGGACATATCCAGCAAAATCCACTTTTTTAGCCATTAAATACATTTTGTTGTGGACTTGTTGTGAAGATGTGAATTTATTAATTCAAATTTTAATTATAATATAATTAAAATTTGAATTTAGTCTCTTTTAGTGCTGCAAAGATATCTTTATATATTTATAAGTATCTGGGACAGAACTGCCATATAAAGTCTGGAATTACTAACTACAATTTGATGATCTTCATCCTCCTCTGGCTCTGGGTCAGACTCTGTTTTTTTATTGATTTAACAGGAAAAGATTACTAAAAATCAAGCATCACTCAGCATAATTACTGTTTTACAGCAGGCTCCTATATTGCAGCACATACAATCACATCATTATACACCATAAACACAAAGACAAACAAGCATACCAAATTTCAAAAAGGCAGCATTTACAAAATAGCACATCTAAAT